AAGTGAGCCTGAATGGGTTCTCTGGAAGAAGAACTAGGAATCATGAAGCCAGGGAAGGTGGAGAGGAAGATAAATTATTTTACAATCCCCATGCTAGAAAAGGAAGATCTAATTCCTTTGAAACTATCCCCTCACCACTTCTCCCCCTCCAACAATACGGGGGCCCTCATGGTACAAAAGGGCTTCCACAATGTCCACATCAGATTTACGTAGACTCAACTTTATTTATCACTTGGGATTACTCCCTCAGGGAAGGAGTAATCCCAAAGGATAAATTGTGATCTTGATGTTATCAAGTGATGATGAGGTTTGTTCGAATAGATCATTTATAAATAGTATTTCTTTAGTCTGTGTAGATTTAGATTGTTTATAGGCCTAAATTGCCATAAACTACATTCAAGCATATTGGCGATCTCTACAGTCACTAATTTGTCAGCTCTCTGCTGCTGTACCAAAAAGATGTCTCCTCCATACATGGGAGACGTTCTCCCATGTATGGAGGCAGACCGGAGACCCCTTCCTATGTAAATATAAAAGCTATTTCTAAGACAAAGCAAACATAAAGATTTAGACTTTCAGTTTATAGATTAAAATAAATAACACACATGTATATATTATATTACATTTCTGTCCGTTAATCTCTGTAACTATTACACACTATAGCTTTAAGTTGAGGTAAAGACCTTTTTGGTTGGTACTTTGGTAGAGGTATCATGATTTGGGATTTTGTTGGATCTTTATACAGATAAATTATTAATTTTGTACATTTTTCTTATAAAGTTTGAAAACACTTTCAAGCTTTTTGTTTTTGTGGAAATCCAATATTTGTTATGTTGAATATTAAAACAAATCCCTCATCCTATATAGAGAAGGAGTAGGTAGTCTGATAATACTGTTAAGGTATATTAATTAGGAACCTCTTTGTTGCTATGAAACAGCTTTAACGATGAACACAGTTCTGCCCTGTATATAACTGTCTTTACTGTGCCACTGAGATTTATTTGTGTATGATGTGTGATTAATGTAAACATAGAGAAGTCTGAATGGATTTCCCCACAGAGTGAACAGCACTGGCAATAAAGCGGAAGGCGCTGGGCTTTGATCAATAGTGGAATAACCTCAGGAGGGGAAATTACACACATCCTTAATCTCAACAGTTCAGTTCCAGAAAAGGCTCTGAACCAAACACAGTATCCATTTAGACTTAAAGTTTTATTTTAAGGTGGGTCACGCTTGGTGATAATTGGCCCAGAGCTCTTATCCTCGAGGCAGCCTTTGAGATCTTTATTTGTTGCAGCCTCAATCCTTGAAAATCTTCAATCAAAGGTGATCGAATCCACAATGGCTAGAGGAAGATAAAAGAGGTAAATCCCTGCAGTGTCACTATGTTTTAGCCGGTGGAGTACATGCAATAGGAAGGAACCTGAGGGATGGCTGCAGAGTCATAAATCACATTTTAAACTCAATCCAGAAAGCAGCCCTCTGGTGGTAAATACTTACAGTGTGTTATTTGTCCCCTTTTTATCATCAGCTTTTTTATGTATGTCCAAGCATGACGCTCCTTGCAGAGCATGCAGTACCTATCACTCTGTCTTTGCCATCGAACATATTACAATAAAAACATCCACATTTATTACAAGCACGGCTAAATAAACTGAAAATCTGAATAATAAATGATCCCAGCGAATCCATTTGGCTGTTATGCAAGATTAATTTGTTATAAATTCCATCATAAGTTGGAGAGTGGAGTCACCATCATCATGACTGATTGTGATTGTTTTGTTAGGAACTGCAGTTACAGTTGTGGAAAACAATAACTAAAAGTATTTGTATATATGGTGCTTCGGTGTTGGTTAGCACAGCCGCATTTCCTTTATAAAATACATATATCCTCTTAAAGAATAGAATAAGTATAATTGTGTGTATATATATATATATATATATATATATATATATATATATATGGAATGCAGTTTCTTTTGTATAAATTGTCTTTTTTTATATACATATATAAGTTGCCATATACTGAATGAACTGTGAATATATGGAATGTAACTGAATATATTCAATGAAACTTAAAGGTATAGCAGAGGATTTTTGCAAATTTTTGAAGAGACCCTTAGACTTAGACTTGAACAACTTTTTGCGACCCGTCCTCTTCACTTAAAAAAAAAACATGCACATGCACAGCCGTGTACTTGCTCCATAGTGGGAACGCCTATTGAACACGTGCGAGAACATGCATAAGCCCATTTCTCCTCATGCACAGCTTTGTTTAAAAGTTGCTGTTTGCATCGCTCAAACAAACTTACTTTCCAAAAGAATATTTGTAAATTTTCCTCTATGTCAGACTCACCACTGGTAAGAGAAAATTGGGACGAGCACGTAGGGTGGCCTTATGTAAACATATTACTGACTGATTGACAATTAGGAGGATCGCTTAATTTGATGATCCACCCAGAAAACGAACATCCTCCACCATACCTTTATATATGTTTAGTGAAATATTTGGAAATAAAGTGGCCTCAAGGAATTATGGGCAATATAGTTTTCAAAAAACACGTATCAAACTGAATTTTCTTGGGACCATTGAAAGAACCATGTTTGGGATCTCGTTTTTCATTCTACCATATTTTTTAACACTCTCCTCACTAACAACTAGTGTTGCGCCGATGCCATTTTCTGGCCCCGATACCGATACCCGATACCTGGCTGTGCAGTATCGGCTGATACCGATACCATAATAATATAAAATAATTGCCATCATGGCTCTGTCAAGCTGCTGCCTACCTTTGTGAAGCAGGAAAAAATCTAATACCAAGTGAATCCAGTAGAACTTTTTATTGCCTACCAGGAGTGGGTGACAATAGTACAATAAACTTATGGCTCTCAAAATGGTATCGGTGCCCTATTTGTTGGTACTTGTCAATACCGATACCATCATTTTAGGGCAGTATCTGGGCCCTGTCCGATACTGGTATCGGTATCGGTGCAACACTACTTACAACCTTGGCCTATCTGATTATTTCCTTCTTCTTTTTTTTTTATAAATATATTCACTGCAGTTCTTTTGTAAACAGTTAAAGCTTAGCAGAACAATGTATGTAAGAACTAACCAAAACACAGTAACTGTCCTGTACAAGGTGGCTTTCTCATTGTGTTCTAAAAACACTTTATCTGCTTTGACAGCCGTTGGTGGTCAGAAGGCCAAGTAATACTGCTTGTACGGTTGTCTGCCTCAGGGTAGCTGTGACTACTGTACATGTACCTTCCCACTATCAGAGTGTAAATCGGTGACTGACTAAATAAAGTGCAAAGCTCTTTGAAGTCCTTGGACTTAATAATGCACTATACAAGCACTGAGCATTTATTACTTAAGTATTATTAGGTGACTTATAAAGACTGCTTTTTATCAATAAAAGAAAACATGAAAATTATCTTTCCTTTCCACATCACTCTAACATTTAACAATATTTTACATTGGTGTTTTGCAGCTTTATTAAAAAAAAAAAAATCGAAACACCATGTATCAGATTTCAGGTCAGTTTATTAACAAAACAACTTTTTTGAATGATTATCATCTAAAATTACTGTGCAAGATACACATATCCATGTTATTTTTATGTATATCTTCAAAAAACTGTCATGAAAATAACCACATAGAGGGACTTATGGGTGTTTGTTTGCATAATTGTTATTTTTATTATGCTTTGTTAAGCCCCTTTCTGTTCTTTTCAGCCTTTTATCCACTTATGGTCTTCTGATTTTGCATTTAATTTATTTGGTTTTAGCAGTATGCTGTTTTGTACCCTTTGTGTCTGGTGTAACATCCTCTGGATTATCTGTCCCCCGGTTCCCCTGCTCACTCCTCTAAATCAGCTTTTCAACACTGCCCTAATTAGAATCACCTGGATCCCATGTCATCGATAACTTCTGTTTTGGTGCATGAGCTTTCAATTTTCCATTTTTCTCTGCTAGTTCCTTCATTTTTTTTTCTTTCTGATTTTACATTGTGTTCTCTTTTGTCCTGAACTGTATTCTTTGTCATTTTTTGAAGATTTAAAACCTTCAAACAAGCATGCCTCCCCTAAGCACTTGTCTCTGTTTCTGTCCTACTTCAAACTCACAATAGGTGACCTTTTTTCGTTAAATTTCTGAGATTCCAATTATATTCATATCTTAACACAAAATAGCCATGTTCAGTTTACATTGCCAGTGGGCAAGAGGGTTTTCAATGTAAGAAAACCCAGTCAATGGCATTAAGCATGTTTGCTGCAACAGAAAAAAGAACATATGCATTTTAACAGTTTTTTTTATTTTTCTTTCTGAAAAATTACATATTTATTTGGCAGCAGGAGTCACTCTTTCAGGTCTTTGTCTAGAAGATAAACAAAGTTAAACACAAAAACACAGGATTAAGTGCATCAATCATAGAGAGAGAACATTAGGTTATTGGCATAGATATTGGAATAGATCAGGTAATGCCCCCCCTAGGAAGTTTTACAACCTAAAATTGCTACTGAAGTCATACAGATAGAAAGGATTGCTGCTGATTTATTTTTCTAATGAGAAATTACAGATAGAAATGTGTGACACAACAGCACCAGAAAAAAAAACTAATAGTTAATGGCACAGATTTTTATTGTCTTATTTATTGGTTTTATTTAAGTCTGTAGTTAACTCATAATGTATGGCATTCTAAATCCACCGTTTTTGATGCATTTTCCCAATTTTTTTCCCCTTGCTCCCTTTTTCATTTTATTTTTTTTTATCATCCTAGCACCCTGGAGCCTTTTCCTCAACAGCAGTTTTTGTGCAATTGATTATGGCAGACTCCTCTTTAACATGGCTTTTTTTCCCTTTCTGAAATCTCAATGCACACATACACACTCGTCCTTTCTTCACATCATAAACCATGCACTTGACTTTTTTGGCTGAAAATCTGTAACCCGTTGCAGCATGGGGGGGGGAGATACACACAAGGTTCAAATCCTAAAAGACAAGGGTGGGCGAAATGAGAACATCCAAGAGGAAACACGAAGCTTATAACATCCTTCACATCTCCTCTCCCAACCACACTGCCTCACTCGCTGTCTCTCTCTCTCTCTCTCTTTCCCTCGCTAACATGCACACAGACCCCCCTCTCGCATAGAAGTAGACAGAGAGCAGTGAAGAGCAGAAGGAGCTGGATGGCAGGAGGGAGGCAGGATGGTTGTTGTTGATTGAACAAAGCCAGGAAAGGAGCGCACAGTCCTGGGGAAAAGAGCAGCTGTGAAATGCCTTGAAGGGAGCCTGCCAGTTACTCCTGCACAGACCTGAAGGTAAGCCTCTGCTGTTGGAGACAAAAAAATAGACAAAAGAGGGAGATAAAGCATGAGAGAGGAGGCTTTTAAAGCTGCTGATGCATGGTATGACTGTGGCACCACATCCAAGCTACCCCCTTTACATTTGACTGCAGCTGGCATCGCATGCTGTTTCATCTCTCCAATCTTCTCTCCACTGAGTTGTCGGATACAAAGTGTGCATCACCTTACAGGGGATTAAAAACTGTGAGCGCCAAACAAGACAGTGACAAACAGTGAGAGGAGGAATGAGATTATACCAGGTAGTTCTGAAACAGGAGAGCAGGAAAATGAAAAGTGTTGATGAGAAAAGTACCCAAATTACCCTCCTCCATCTGCTCCAGCCCTTATCATCTCATCTTGCCCTTTTTTTATCTTATGCCTCTGCAGAGCTACATACATCACCTCTATGCATCCAGTAACTCTCGTGGCGGGGGCAGGGTAATCAAAAAGGCAATGAATCTCTGACGCAAGCGGAGAGGAGCCTGTCAACAGTCCTGGTGTTTGTGCCTGCTCGGGTGATGGGCTGTAGTTTTTTTCAGTGCAATGCAGGAGTTTCCACAAGCGTGGCAAAACAACAGTCAACCCAGAGCGAAGAGGGATGTGCGTTATAGTTTGAGTCAGTTTGGGAGCATCTGTGTGATGCTACACGGCTTAAACTGCTTTTGTACCCTGCATGATTTTATTCATCCTAATAAATCAGTATTAAGTATATAGTGGCATGGTGTAATGCCATGATAGCTGTTGGCAGTTTTGGTGAATATTTAAAACTTTAAAGAGACATTTAGAGACAATTCTTTGTCATTAAAACTAAATCCACCTCTTTAATATGTTTGCTTTGAGGTGTTTCTGTATCATAATTGGAATCATATTGTAGTGTCAGTTAGTGTCTGACATGCATAAGTACAACAGTCACAGAAAATTCAGTTTGGAAAACTGAGCAAACCTCAGGTGGGTAGATTAAATGTCGAAGTGATGCAAAGCAAAATCTGATTATACTTCCTCTAAATGAAAGCTTACTAAAGATTGGGTATAAGTTACAGCACTCTCATGACTTTTTTTGTAATATTCTTTATTAAAACTATTTTATGATCAATTAGTGTTATTTTTTTTATCTTAAACATGTTTGATGCTGCTGTTCTAACCCAATGTTCTGAAAATATACAGCATCTGGAAATTAGTTCATCCTAACCCGTCAGAAAGATCGACTTGTTATGGAAGCTTAGCAAATGTATTGGTTTTTCTGCAGACATTTCTTTTGCTAATCTAAAAAGAGTAAATTGCTCCTAATGTGTAATAGGATGCTTTAGTGACCACTGTGCAGTTAGCATAGCAGCTTACATGGTTTTAATGAGAGAACTCTTGCAAGATGAACACCTGTTTCCTTTTATATGAATAAGGCGTAGAAATAAAAATGAGAGCATCAACCGAAACTGAAAACAATTAGGTTGTTTTTTCTATCCTTATTTTATACATGGTGAAAACTCACATCTGAATTAGACCTCACCTGAGAAGTGTGCCCCTCAATCAAAGCTTTTGATAACTGCACGTCAGGAAAAAAAACAAAAAAAAAACAAGTTACTTTTGAACATCCCCTGTGCAGCTGCTTTTTTCTCATCTATTGTTTCCAGAATTTACTCCTATTAAATGAAATCAAAACCCACTCTCTGCCAAGCACAGCATGGCTGGAAGGACCAGAGAGCCAAACAATGAAATAAGAAGGTCACCATTTATTTGCTCCCTAAAAGAGTTTTCTACTTCTTAATTGCAGGTCCAGTCAATGAGAATGGGAACCACCGCTGGTTTGCACAGTGTGAGTACTGCAAACATATAAAATAGAAGAATCTTGTGATTAGATTGCTAATGGTGCCGATTTTGGTATCTGCTTTGCATTTTTAAATCTTTTAGACATTTGCATTTTATAAACAAGTTTGAGCAGCATTTCTTCGTCTTTAAAAAATCCTACAGCACTATTACTTGTTGAAGTTTAATAACTATTTATTCGATTTCTGATAACAAAAACAATACATTTCAAATTTTTTTTGGCCTTCGATTTCAAAAAGATGAGAAAACACAATATGCGTACTGGTAAAGGCTAAACAGGAAGACAACAGATGGTCTAAAAGTAATTATCTAACTGTCTGTCTATCTAATTATGCACATAAAGTCATGTTAGGTACATTTCTGAAAGGTTACATAATACAAGCAGTTTTGGTGCAGAGTGGGCTTTGTTATGGGAGTAGGTGTGTGTTTATCAGTGCGGCAGGAGGAGGGGGCTCACCACTCTTACAAGAACCGCCTCACAACATATGTTGTTGTTAACAAATTATCTGTGATTTTAAAAATTCAATTAGATAAACACAGCTTTTAAATATCTGCAGTTGATGTTGTGGTTCAAATGGATTTTAAGAGGCGTTAAACTGCTTTGCTCTCATGTGAGGACTCATATGTCTATCAAACTATCATTGCCCTCCCAATCAGCAACATGTGCACGTTTTCCAACTGAAAACCTCTGAAGCTAAAGAAACCAGGGTCAAACTGATTTCTTAATACTTGTCTCCGTCACCAAACCTGTCCATTTCCCAAAGCTACTGTTATCACTATAATCTCCTCTCACCCTGCTCCACAGCTGGCTTGGGCCTGATTGCTTATCCAGGGGGAGACACAGTCAGTTGCTTAGATCTTATGCTTTTTGATGGATAGCCTTTTGACCTTATTATCAGTACTATCACAGTAGCCATGGCTCAGGTTGTGTACATTTGTCCCCTCCTTTTCATCTGTCTTTCAAGACCTGATCATCAAAAAACATGACCCAGCGAGCTAAAAGGCCAGATATAATCCTCGTCTGTATCAGAGGAGACACTCAAGAGAAAAGACTCTGTGAATAATTAATTGGATCTGTTTTCTCGGTTAACAATATTTATCTCCAGAGGTTTTGCAGAATGCTCCGTTTTTCCAGCAGATCTAAATTTCCACATACCGCAGCAGCGCATTTGTGTGAAGAGCTTAGCCAGGCGTGAAGACTTTCTTTTTTGTGCAGAAGATTGTGTGCTCATGTCAGAGTGCTGTGGAAAGCTACAGAATTCTTCTTTTTTAATGATACTGTTAAAAAGTCTAAAAGCTAATCACTTACCCAAGCAGCTTTAGCTCTCTGATAGTTTGGACCTCCATATTTTATAAATGTTTAGCTTTGAAAGTCACAGTCTTGCACTTTGTGGGCTGTAGATGAATTCGATTCAATCCTAAGCTGTTTAATGAAACAGGCAGCATAACATTTCCCACACAATCCTTTCCCGGAAAAGGAAAACAAGTCTGTTCTTATAAATCTATAGTGAATGCAAATTGGTTTGTCAATTCTCTTTCAAAGTGTCACCTGCAAAGCTTGTGCAAATGATTTGTAGAATAGAACTTTGCTGTTCCAGATGCAGCTTCACAACCCATGAATACTACATACAGCTCGATGATGCATAACGCTTAAAAGTGAGAGTATGACTGAATAAAGGACATTAACAAAAACATCAATTTAATAAACAATAGTAATGCATAGATATGGGTGTTTTTCTGTTTTTTCTCTTTACCTGGATTCTGCTCTAAACCCAGGTTTGGATTGTTTGAGGCTATAATTAGTACTTCCTTGTAGAGGGACCTCATGTTACTCCAAGACATGTAGATCTTGTAAATGAAAGAAATCTTAAACCTGTAGTAAGAATAATATCGAGTCAGATGACTTCACTATTTCATCTGAGAGAAGAAATGTGGAAAAAGCAAACTGAAATGTTTTTGCATCCATTAGACCATATTTATTGCATGTTATCTAACAGTTTTTCATTTATGCTCTTGCATTGAAGTTGGTATATTCTTATTTCCCGTAGTTTTGTTGTTGTTGTTGTTGTGTTGGGATGATCTCAGTAGGCTCACCCAGAAAAACTTTAGCATAAGAACGTGAAAGTTGGCTGTCAGTAAACTTGTCATCCTTTATCTTTTGGGACACCCTCTTTTTTACTTTCATGAATGTCATGTTGGCGATATTGATCCCTGTGATTCACTGATCAGCCCTATCAGCTGACTTGAAGCCAGCCAGAATATCCACCATGCTGAGGTCTGGAAAAACACCAGAATGCAAAATATCTTTGATGTCAACCTGGATGTGTTTGCAAAATCCAAAAGTTTACTTCATGCTAGACAAGTACAGAGCAGACTAACAAGTTGCTGCTGATGAAGTGGATTGATAAAGTCAACAGAGTCGACCTACTTAATCTTAGAATAGGAACAAGGAAGTTGTTCAGCAGACAAACTGTAATAACCATATCAGTGTCACTGATACAGATTGTCATGGATATAAACATTTACAGTTTCAGTTACCGGTACTCTAAACACTTATTTTATAGAAGGAGGTGCAACTAAGAAGATTAAAACAACTGCTTAGCAGAAAGATCAGAAAAAAGGTTGATATTACACAAGCATAATGCACAAGTCAATAAACCTTGTCATGTTGATTTTTTTGAAATTTTGAAAGTTTATGCAGCATTTCTATATTTCTCTGTATAACTTTATTAGGTTTGATCAGCCTGTAGAATACAAGGTTTTTAAATTCCAAACACTGCTTATGTTATACTGTCTCACAATAGGAAAGACTATGATAGAATGTGTTTATTTTTAATCCCATATGGAGGAGCTTCAAATGGTGGCTGCCTCAGAATTAATACATTTTTCAATCGCTGCATATTATGTTATATAAAATGATACATTTTCGAGTTACTGTTCAAAAAGCATACAGTATGACTGAGGGGTCAAAGGGCCTCCTGAACATCCCCGCCTGTAATGAGACTCTCACTGCAGTTGTTCTTTGTCCAATCAGGTTGCTTCTCAGGAGGGATTGTTGTTCTCCTCTATAGAATGTAACTTTTCTTTTCTGCTGCTCCACCACTTTTCTAAGAGAGTCCCTTTCACTACCCATTACAAAGCTGGTCATTTTCACCAGTTTGTTGAGATGCATGGCGATGTCTTTTTGTCTATCGCACCACTACCCCATCAGATGACAGCCCGGAACAGTAAGCTTTCAATGACAGTGGATAAACACTACACAGCATGTCGCTGCCAATTCGTTGAAGTACCTGAGCTGTCTCAGAAAGTGACAGCTCTTTCTCTTCCTGTACACTGTGGATATGTTGGCAGACCACTCTGGTTTTTTCAGCACACTCCAGCGTCGTGGTGTCAAAACTTGTGTTAAACTCTGCAGTTTTCTGACATCTTAAATAAAGTATTTTATCATGAATAACTTCTTGGAAAGTATAGTAATCTATATATGAATTGAAATTAGTGGTCAGGGTGCTGGTTGATTGACTAAAGAGTCAAACTTGATCACAAGTTACCTAAATATCTCACAGCTGTCTGCTTGTCCTCATCATCCTCCTGTCCCCAGAGACCAACTGTAATAAGTAGTCCCTGTAACTGGCAGTCTGCTTAATGTCAGACTGATATCTCTATCAGACAGGTCTAGCACGATTCTACTACAGCAGGCGAAGTCAGTTTTTATTTCTCCATCTTTATTAGATTTTATCATACTGACCTTGCAGAAAAGTTCAGCATGACTTTTGAAACCAAAAGTGTTTGCCAGGGTTTGCAAAAAATGGGATCTACATCAGGTGAGAGGACAGAGCTCTATATCCACCTGCATGATCAATGCTATAACATTACTGGCCAGGAATGGCTTCCATGAAGCAAACGTTGATATTGAGGGTCGACCAGATTGCATTGTTTAGGTAAGAGTGTGTATCGTCCATGCAGTATGGTTGTGTGATACAGTAGATATTTGTCAAAATACATTTTAGTACAATCAGGAATCTTTGGCATTGATCGGTGTTTTATGAAACAGAAAACAATGTGTTATTTTTTATTTAAAAGAAAATAAAAAACGTACTATTGTGTTGGCACCGGCTTTGTGGATATAGGTAATAACTAGAAACCTTTTATTGGAGGGAGACATTTTCATATACGTTCTGATGAATCATGCACACGTAATCAAGGATGAGTTTAGGTCCAACCACTTAAACATTGTTTGACCAAGATCAATCCCAATACTTCAAATCAGTAAGGACACTTAAGCTAAGGTGGAAGAGCGTAGGTGGTCACAATAACAAGTGCAATAAAAATTATGCTGGCAGTAATGAACGAGTTAGGACGAGGAGAAAATATCCTTCTAATTATCGATTAATGAAGCACATGCTTAATGAATGGCTGTATAACTGTTGCTGTAGCCACTGTTGGGAGCCATATGTTTTCCTATAATCCTTTGCCAGGATATTTAGACACAGCCCACCTCATGAATTTTAGTAAATATACATTATTCTCACTTTTCATGTGCTCATGACATATGCTAATGCAAACACCTTCATATGTTTGAGGTTTTATAATGGAAGTGTCTATATTTTGCTACATATGTGTTAGTTTTGTTTTTTGAATTTTTTTATTTTTATTTTTTTTTCAAAAGGCTAGTTTAAAATTGACCAGCATCTTTCATATCTGTGTCTGTTGTGCAAAGACTTCAATAAGGGTGAAGGCTTCCCAGATTCAGAACAGCAGTCCAGAGCTCCTAGCATTTTTGCTGAACCCATTAAAGGTGAGAAGATAGGAGCTAGGAATGTGAGCTAAGAGGTACAATTTGAGGTATTTGAACCAAGCCATTGTGTTGAAAGTTTTATATTCAGGGCATGTATGCACTTCAGATACTGTCTCACAAGTGAATGCAGATTTGATCGCTGTTTGGTGATGTTATCAAAAAAGGAAACTGCCACCCCTCTCACTTTAACTGGA